GTAGCCGTAGTAGTAGTAGTAGTAGTAGTAGTAGTAGTAGTAGTAGTAGTAGTAGTAGTAGTAGTAGTAGCAGTAGTAGTAGTAGTAGTAGTAGGAGTAGTAGTAGGAATAGTAGTAGTAGTAGTAGTAGTAGTAGTAGTAGTAGTAGTAGTAGTCGTAGTCGTAGTCGTAGCCGTAGTAGTCGTAGTAGTCGAAGTAGTCGTAGTAGTCGTAGTGGTCGTAGTAGTCGTAGTGACAGTAGACGTAGCATGTGCAGTAGTAGGAGGAGGGGAGACGAAGCGGGGGAGAATCATGCCTCCGTGTGAAGATGGAGCTTCCAGCGTGGCCCTGGTCAGTCGCTGTCCTCTCGAGGCGCCGTTTCTGGATGCAGGCGGAGAGGGGGGGAGGAGGAGAAAGGAGGGAGGCAGGACGGGAGGGAGGGAGGGAGTGGGGAAGGAGGAGGGAGGAGGGACCAGGAGCAAGACCCTCACCAGACGAGACGTTGTAGAAAGTTGCAACATCACACAAAAACGCCACTGGATCCCTGACCCCATCTTCCTGCGCCACTTTTCGAGCCGGATCGATCTGTGAGGTTCCTGGGCCCGAAACCCGGTTCGAAGCGCCTTTCGTGAGAACGTCGCAGACAGGCGACGTCTTGATTTTTCAGTGCGGCATCCCTGAAGTCCCGACCCTTTCACTGGGGCCTGTTTTTCGTCCTCAGTCGTCGGCGAGGGCCCCCCCAGAGGCCGAAAGAGACAGAAAGAGCCTCCCCTCCCGATTCTTCACGGTGCGAGCACGTCTGGGGTTGCGACGCCAGTATCTCAGGGTAGCAGTTGTCAAGGCCTGGAGATGCGCAGAAGTGCGGTTAGCGGGACTGTGTTTGGATCGTCAGCGGCCCAGCTAGGAGGCGAACTTTGCGAAGTCTGTCACGGACCAGGCCTGACATCGACGAGAGGTAGCGTCAATCGCGCCTGGTGCCAGATACCTGGCGCACGAGGTTTTCTCATGCGGCTGCTGTTGCTCCTGCTACTAGCAGCAGCAGCCCCAGGCGGGGGATCTGGTAGCAAATCATGGGAACCTGGTATACCCTCTTAATGTCGTCTTTAGCGTCGACGAGCGCCGTTTAGCGTCTGAGAGTCGATGAGATGTGCCGATGTAGCGTCGATTTAGCGTCGATCAGCGTCGATGAGCGTCGAATCGCGCGAGCCGACAAGATGGTATTCATCGGTCGCTGAAAGTAGGTATTTTTGGATTCCCAGATTCCAATCTACTTTAGCGCTTCCTGCTTCAATGATCGAGTTGCTTCACCTTCTCCATCCTTTAGGGGGCGGGCGGACACCCAATCTACTTTCAACGCCTTCCTACCTCATGTTTCTACCTACTTCTTCCGACCGATGGGTGCCGAGACATGCGACGTCTTGATTTCTTCAGGGCGGCGTCCCAGGAAGTCCAGACCCTTTCCCCGGGGCCGGCTTTCAATCCCGAGTCGTTTTTGGACGGTCCGGGGGCCCGGCGAGGGCCACCAGGGGCCGAACATAACGGAAAATTTGCCGCCCGGATCATCTCTGGACGACGCGAGCATGTCTGGGCGTGGGAGCCTCCCGCGAGTTGCCACCGGAGGGGGAGGCGCGCCGGAGCTGGCCTGGCCCGACGCGGCGCCCCCGAGGTGCTGGCAGCCCTGCCGGACCTGGGCGGGCAGCCCGTGCCCACTGTGCCGTGCCTGCGCGCCGGGCCGGGCGGGCGCTTTGCCGGGGCCTCGGACCAGGGTTGGCGGCGCGCCGAAAGGGGTAGGGGGAGGGGGGAGGGCTTCTTAGAAGCACCCCTGCTTCTTAGAAGGCGCGGGCCTTGTCTGTAAACGTAACGTTCGCTGCTTCTGAGAAGCAGCCTTCTTCTAAGAAGCCTTCCCCTCTCCCCCTACCCCCTTGTGCGCGCTGCCAACAGGGGCAACGGCAGGGGAGGCGGAGCAGTGGCGGAGCGTCCTGGCTTGCCCAGAGGCCCACCACAGAACGTTCGCAGGACCTTTTGAGGCTTGCGCGAAGTGTGCTTGGAACAGTTCTGACCGAGACCGTCTCGTTTTAACGCATCGGGCTTTCGTTCTAAGAGCATTATGGTTATTGCTCTTAGAACATTTGGGGGTCCTGAGAACAGGTGGTAGGCCTATTGGAATGCTAGGGCGGTCGGTCCCTGCTCAAGGGAGAGAGGGAGGCGCGGGTCTTCAGGGGAGGAAGACATTCCCATGTCTCTACTCCTCCGCCCGTTTCTCTCTTTTGTTCGGCCTCCTGGGAGGCCCTCGTCGCCGCCGGGGGCTTCGCCTCGGGATCCTGGTCAGAACCCCCGGAGAGGCCTGGGGACTGGCGGTATCGGTACCTTTCAGTTTCCCCACGGAGAGGCGCGGGTCTTATCTGTAGATGTAAGGATGGCGCCTTCTAGGGAGCAGCCTCCTTCCAAGAAGCCTTCCCCTCTCCCCCCTACCCCCTTGCGCGCGCCGCCAACATTCGCCGTTGGGCGTTGCGTAATGGGGGGGGGCGGGGGAGGGCGGTAGGAGGTGGGGAGTGAAGAATCGGGAGCCTCGGGGGTCAGTGCAAGGGAGGGTCGGCCAGAGCGCTGGATTCGCAGGATTCTGCAGAGCCAGGGTTGCATTGACCCAGGCTGGCGCACAGGGTCCTGCAGGATCCTGCAGGATCTTGCAAAGCCTGACTGGCTCCGGCTTGCATTGACCCGGGTCAGTAGAAGCCCGAGGGGAGAGGCTCAGGGGGGGACGCATCGAAGTTCTCATGACTCCAAGATGCGTCTCGAATCATGTTTCGCCAGCCGTACCTCTGCCCTTACCCCAAGCTGTACGCCCCCCTGGACGGGCGCCCTCTGAGCAGCCCGACTCTACCTGCCGCGGCACTCGTTTGGTTGAGTCCGACGGTGCCGGGTGCCTGCCGGGACGCTTCGCTGGAGCGACCGGTGATGATATACATATTCTGAGTTTCTCAATCAGCGTCGGGGGGGTTCACCCCCCGTCGGGGGGGTATCGCCTCACGCTTATTAAGAAACCCAGCGCACATGACAGGGCGCGTCCTCGGAGCGCCTGAGAGACGTTGCCAGGGCGCATCCCTGGGTCGCCCGAGGGCACCTGCGAGGACGCTTCGCTGGAGCGCCCGAAGGCATCTGCCACGCAATTTCTTCCCTTGGAGAGCTGGTATTTTGCAGAGGCGTGTAGCGAAGCGAGTACTTCGTGTGTGCTTCTGTGTGTGAGGCTGCTCGCTGTTCTTACCGGACTGGCTAGTTGTGGGCGGAGGTCTGGCAGAGCTCGCTCTATCGTAAGGGCCGAGCCGCCGAGCAGTTCGCTGCACCCCGAGGCCCGTGAAGCTTTGGGAGCCTCAGATGGAGTGGTCCATCGCATCATTCCTCGTGAGGTGGCCTGCTTGCGAGAGACTGCCAACATCCAACCCGACAGAAACCACAGTTCTACTCTAGGCCTCCTGGATGGGGTCCGAGCAGATGGGGTTGCAGGATCGCGCCGCATCGCCGACGCATCGACGATGCGGCTCGATGTGGAGCCCCTGATTCGCCACGCCGACGTCGCCGATGCATCGCCGACGTCGCCGATGCATCGGCGATGCGGCGCGATCCTTCGACCCCATCTACCCGGACCCCATCTAGGATGCCTCTATCTACGCCGCGTGGTTTCTGGCCCAATACCGTATCTGGTGCTATCTGCAGATGCAGCTTGCCTGGCCCGCGGCGGCCAGCAACCCGACCGGCGGGAGCGCCGCACAGCGCGAGGGCGCCGACCAGGCGGCGGCCGATGGCATCGCATCGGAGACGGGCCGCGCCGGCAGAGCGTCCCGTGGAATCAAGTCCTATGCGCAGGGACGGCTTCGTGGATCAGGAGCCTCTCTTCTGTAGTCGCGCGCGGACCTCGCGCGTGCAGAGGGGCCCTGCGGGTGCGACCGACTGGTGTCACCGGAGTGTTTTTTGCAAGCTTGAGAGGGGCAGCCACACGCGCCGGGCAGAACGGGCGGGCACGTATACAGTGGGGGCCCATGCCAAGAAACACCTTGCTTGCTTGCCTCCAGGGTGCCCTGGGTTTCTTTGGCCTCGATGGTCTGACCATGGAGAGCGTCACGTTCCCACACCGGAAATCGATGGACGTCCTTGGGTCTCAGTGTTGTTTTTTGTGGACGGTTTCTTGTGGATTGGCCTCCATTGTGCTTGGCACACCGGAGAACTTGCGATAGCCGCGATTGCATGCACCAGATCTTTCATCTCAGATCATATCAACCTCTCGCTTGTTTCCAAAGGTTGCCGTGAAAGAGACGCATCAATGTGACTTCCGAAGTTCTTGAGGGACTAATCCCCAACGTGATGCTGTGTCGAGCCATGCTGTCAGAACCTGTAGCAGTGCAGTCGGCCGAACCTCCAGGATACCAGGCAGCGCAGAATGCAGTCGCAGTCCTGCTCTTGAGTCGCCCGATCGGATCGCGCAGCGTGGATGGCAGCCTCGGCGTCGCGTCAAAAAGGCTTGCGTAAACACAACAGCCCAATTTGCAGGGTGAGCCAACGTGTCTAGGACGTGCAGAATGTGTCCTTTCTACTGCCGTGCCACGACCCTGCCTTTGGAGTTCCATCGTTCGCGGGATGCGCTTCTGAGTCGCGTAACAAGGCGCTGACATGAGGCACGGTTCGGGTTCGGAATTGGTTCGTTGTTCTTTAGGTCCCTTGTATGGTTGTTCCTCCAGCGGTCATCGTGCACCCAGCGTTTGTGTGGCTAGAGCGGGGCTCCGTTCCCCATGTTGCGTTCCTTATGTAGTATGTAGTATAAAACTTGATTGGACGGGCGCGACCTGAGACTGTCTGGGCTGGCGTCTAGGACGGCATCCCCAACAGTTGCATATGGTCATGAACTTGGCCCATCTACGGCACGCGAAACAGCGTCCAGATCGAGTTGTCCTCTTCAGTTTCCTCCTCCTCCTCGACAACATTGCAGTGCAATTGTGAATATCATGAAAGATTGCATCATCACGTTAGACTCAACAACGTGGTGGGGTGTGGTGTGACAATGTAAGAAATCGGGTTGGCTTGGTGTAGGCCAGGGGCGCGCTAAGGCGCGTTCTCTCCCCTCTCGTGGGACCGTCCGCGCAGGGGGTGCAATAACTCCAGCAGGCTGGGAACGCCGCGCGTAGCCAACTCGAGTGGGCCACTGCTTCCCTCTTTTGATCTGTCCACACTTCTGACCGCGCCTCACAACGAAAGCCAGTGAACAACCGAAGGCAACATAATACTAGTTTTGGCCTCCTGGAGGCCTTCTTGAGGCAATATTGGGCCGTCTTGGGGTCACCTAAGGCCGTCTTGGAGGCATGTTTTATGACCTGGCCATCTTGGAGACCATCCGTGACGGCTCTGGGCCGACTTGATTTGACAAGGGCAAGGGATTTCCAGGAGCCATAGTAGGAGGAGAAGCCATTGAATCCCACCTACAGTGGAGACCCATGCCAAGAGACACCGTGCCTGCCTCCAGGGTGCCCCGGGTTTCTTGGGTTTCGATAGGTTTGTTATGGAAAGCGTGACGGTTCCCCACAACAACATCAATGGACGTTTTGGGGTATCAGGATTGGGTTTTTTGTGGAAGGTTTCTTGTGGTCGAGACCCTATTGTAGGCCCGAGTCCTCCTGAATGCCTCTCGCTCTTGGAATGCTTCCTGGGGGCCTCTTTCAAGGCCTCCCCAAAGAGGTCCGAGTAGACGGTGTTGGAGGATCGCGCCGCTTCGCCGATGCATCGGCGACGCGGCTCGACGTGGAGCCCGATGTTTTTTTGCACGCCGACGTCGCCGCCGCATCGCTGATGCATCGGCGATGCGTCGCCGATGCAACGCGAACATCCGACCCCATCTACTCCGACTCCATCTGAGCGACGCAAGAAAACGAGATCGACTGCGCCAACATTCGCGTACGATGCCCGCGTAAGGTCGCGCTCAAGCGTCTTTCCTACACGCGGTGTGTCACCCTGGCAGCTCGCGTAAGCCACTACGGAAGGTCGCTATGCCATCGTGCGCAAGACCCCACCCGCCCGGACCCCACCTCGGAGGCCTCCACTCTCGGGAAGGCAGCAGCACGAGCACGAGCTTTTTGGTCCGGCGCTGGGACCCCCCTGGCGGCGCCTCGGGCCCCCTTCCGTGTAGCGCTCCGCGCGCCAGGGAGGGGGGGCCCAGCGCAGATCCAAGAAATGCGAGCGGAGCTCCGAAAGGTTGTGCTCATGTCATGTCTCGTTCCTCTACGGTGAAGACGCTGACATGAGGGCAACGTTTTGTTCGGATGAAGCCCGCCTTTCCTTAGGTCAGTCCGTGGTGGTTCCTCTGGCCCTCCTCGTGCACTCAGGCGCTGCTGGCGCCAGGAAAGAGGCTCCGCTCCTTGTGTGTAGCGCTCCCTCGTTCAGCAGCCCTTCTGTCCTACCCTTGGAAGCCTCCTGGGTGCGGCCTCCCTGCGGCGCCTCTCTGGGGGGTCTCTCGGGAAGCAGCGCGCCCGCACCCTGTTGTAGGAAACCGCCGCGAGGAGGAGGAGGAGCAGGAGGAGGAGGAGGAGGAGGAGGAGGATGAGGAGAGGAGGGAGGAGGGGGAGGAGTAGGAGGAGTGAGGAGGAGGAGGAGGAGGAGGAGGAGGAGAGGAGGAGGAGGAGGAGGAGGAGGAGGAGGAGGAGGGGAGGAGAGGAGGAGGAGGAGGAGGAGGAGGAGGAGGAGGGGAGGAGGGAGGAGGGGAGGCAG